ACAGAAGACCTCCTTCCTCAGCGGCTCCCCAATTCTGCTTCAAGTGCAGTAAGGAGGGGCACTGGGCCACATCCTGCCCTCAGCCCCGACCGGCCCCCGGCCCATGTCTAATGTGTGGTTTGAAAGGACATTGGAAGAGTGACTGTCCCTCTGTGTCAAAGCATGGAGGGCCATCCTCCACGAGTCCACTAACCCGCTATCAACAATCTTGGGCCTGGCCACTGATGACTGAAGTAGCCCGGACTCAACAACCCCGATCACTCTCGCTGAGCCCAGGGTCACTATCAAGATAGCAGGCAAGTCAATCTCCTTTTTGATTGATACAAGGGCTACCTATTCTGTACTCCCCTCCTTCTCGGGACCATGTTTCCCTTCCTTAGTCTCTGTTATGGGAATTAACGGACAACCCTCAAAACCCCCCATGACAGGCCCCATCACCTGTTTAACAGACAACAGAATTCTCTCACACTCATTTCTCGTTATACCAACCTGTCCTACCCCCCTTTTGGGACGAGATTTCCTCGCAAAAATTAAAACCACTCTAACTTGGGCTTAGGATCACTCTGCCTCTCTCCTGCTATCACTAACTGCTACCTCCTTGCAAGCACCAGCTTTCCCCATGTCCCCTGACCTTGTTGATCCATGTGTATGGGATACCTCTTCCCCATCCATCACCTCTCATCATCCCTTTATGGTACATTTAAAGGATCCCACACAGTTTCCATCCAAACCCCAATTTCCCATCTCTCGCACGCACCAACTCGGCCTGAAACCTCTTATACAGTGCTTCTTATCTAAAGGACTCTTAATACCCACCCAATCCCCATGTAATACCCCTATTTTATCAGTAAAGAAACCTAATGGGTCCTACTGACTAGACCAAGACCTTTGTCTTATTAACAATGCCATAGTTCCCCCTGCATCCCATTGTCCCTAACCCTTGCACCTTACTGTCCAATATTCCCCCTATACTACCACTCATTTTTCTGTTTTAGATCTCAAGGACGCCTTTTTCACAATCCCCTTAGACCCCAAGTGTTACAACCTTTTTGCCTTCACTTGGGAAGATCCCGACAAGCACACCTCCTCCCAGCTCACATGGACTGTCCTCCCACAAGGATTCAGGGATAGTCCAACTCACTTCAGACAGGCACTGGCCAGAGACCTACTAGACCTCTCCCAATCCGTTCTCTTACAATATGTCGATGACCTTCTCCTATGTAGCCCCTCTTTAGAACATTCGACTACACACACCGCCACTCTTCTAAACTTCCTAGCAAAAAAGGGGTACCAGGTTTCACCCTCTAAAGTCCAGTTATCTACTCCCTCTGTCATTTACCTTGGCCTTAAACTAACACCCATCACCCAGGAACTCACCCTGGATAGAAAGCAAGTAATACGAGACCTGCTACCCCCTACCTCTGCCAACCAAATCCTATCATTCCTCGGACTAGTTGGGTTCTTTAGACACTGGATCCCTAACTTTTCCTTTCTGGCTAAGCCCCTCTACAATGCAGCCAAGGACACACCAATTGGTCCCCTTCAATCATCACAACTCATTAAGGCCGCCTTCACCACCCTGAAAAATCACCTTTTACAATCTCAACCTCTTCATCTCCCCAGTCCTACCAAACCTTTTTCTTTATTCACCAATGAGTGCCAAGGGATGGCTCTGGGAGTTCTTACCCAACCTCACGATCCCTTCCCCTCCCCAGTAGCCTACCTATCCAAGTGTCTAGATCCCACAATATGAGGATAGCAACCCTGCTTAAAAGCACTAGTGGCAGCGGCAGTTCTTACACAGGAAGCATTCAAACTAACCCTCCATCGCCCTCTTCATGTATTTTCCTCATACAGAATAAAAGACCTTTTATCCCACCGTTCCCTTTCCCTCCTATCCCCATCTTGCCTCCAACTCTTCCACCTTACCTTTATCGAGAATCCCAACATTCACTTGGCCCAGTCTCCACCCCTTAACCCAGCCACACTGCTACCAACCCATGACCCACCGCACTCCCACTCTTGCACAGAAATTCTAGACACCTTACCTACTTCTCCGAACTCCTTATCTGACCAGCCCTTAACTCACCCAGATATCACCTTCTTTGTTGACAGCAGCTCGGCCGTAGAATCCCATGGACAACGTAGGGCAGCATATGCCGTTGTCACCCTGACTGACATTGTAGAAGCCCACACCTCCCTGAAGGCACTTCATCTCAGAAAGCCGAACTAGTCGCCCTCACCAGAGCCTTACAGTTAGCAAAGGGACAAGTGGCTAACATTTACACGGATTCCAAGTATGCATTCCTTATAGCACACTGTCATGACCCTATACAGGAACAACGAGGGTTTCTAACAGCCAAAGGTTCCCCCATAATCAACGCCAAACTCATTCTCCAACTCCTAAATGCCCTCCAACTACCATCCAAAGTAGCTATCATACATTGTAAAGGACATCAAACAGACACTTCCTTAGTCACCCAAGGCAACAACAAAGCAGATTCCACAGCCCAAAACCTCACCAGAGACTCTCCGAACCCACCAACCCCCATCCTGTTCCTCTCACTTCCCTCCACACATCCGCAGTACCCCCCTGAAGAATTGACACACTGGACAAAAAAAGGAGGGACTTGCTCCCCCAAAGGATGGCTCTTTCTTCATAACAGACTCATCCTTCCTGACTCCCAAGTAGAGTCCCTTGTCCATATGATTCATGATTTCCTCCACAAAGGAACCAAAGCCCTGAAACATTTCCTACAACCTCTTTTCATATCGCCTTTACTCAACACCTCTATTGAATCTGTCTGTTCCACCTGTACTGTTTGTATATCCACAAATCCCCAGGGAAACCTTAAACCAACCTTCCCCACTCATCAGATGAGAGGGCATCTACCTGGTCAGGACTGGCAAATCGATTTCACTCATACGCTGTCTCACAAGTCTTTCAAATACCTTTTCACACTTATAGACACCCTAACCGGGTGGCTGGAAGCCTTCCCCACAAAGAATTAAACTGCAGCTACAGCAGCCAGTATCTTAATAACTCACATCATCCCTTGGTTTGGACTACCATCCTCCATACAGTCAGACAACGGGCCAGCTTTTGTTTCACAGATTACCCAACAAGTCTTCTCCTCCCTAGGGATCCACTGGCACCTCCATATCTCCTATCGACCTCAATCATCAGCTAAAATCGAAAGAGCCAATGGCCTTATCAAAACTCCCCTTACCAAACTCTCCTTAGAGCTCTGTAAATCTTGGATAGACCTCCTTCCCTTTGCCTTAGCACGCATAAGAGCAACTCCCAAAGCACCAACCTTTCTCAGCCCTTTTGAACTAATGTACAGCTGACCTTTCCTCATGAACCATAATTTACCCATGCAACCTCCTCTCCTAGCTTCCTATCTCCCGTACCTTTCTCTCCTTAGGCAGCTACTGCGAGAATATGCAGACAGGTATCTACCACAACCCTTAGAGACCAATCCTCCAGGACCACCAACAGCAACTCACCTACAACCCAGAGACGCAGTGCTTCTGAAAACTTTACACCCAGAGCCACTGAAACCTCACTGGACTGGACCACATACTGTCATCTTAACCACCCCCACGGCAGTAAAACTCCTGGGTGACCCCTCATGGCACCACCTCTCCCATACCAAAAGGGCCCAGACAAATCATGATTCCTATACATGCCAAATGCTGGGTCTGACTAAGCTCCATCTTAATCGGACCCCTCGTCCTCCTGACCCTCACTAATACTGAACCCACATCCAATCTCAATACTGAACTCCCACCCAACCATGTCTGGAGATTTACAGTCTGGGAGGGACAAAACTCCCCGCAACATATTGGCCAGGCAGACTACCCACCAACAAATATGACAGCACTAGAAATACCCATTTCCCCCAAATCAGTGTTCCCCAGTAATTTCCCCTATCTCTGTTTTACATACGACCAATCTGATCCCAAATGTAACCAAAGTTCCTCAACCTATGGTGGATGTTATTATTGGTCATGCAGAATACATAGTTCCGGAGATTACTCTGGAACATTTTTCACTAAAACCATGAGATTACACCTCCGCATCCATGATCCCAAGAATAGCAGGTGGGCAGACGGAGTTATAGAAAAACTATATTACAATGGCTTTGCCACCTTACCCACAGGAACCACCAGAATAGAACGAACAATCCACACCCCCCGCAACCTTACACGAGTTCTCACTTATATTTCCCAAATCAGGCTGGCTATCACTTTTATTATAGCTGAAACAAAACAAAACAGCCCCTCTCAAATAAAACAAAAACATCACGAAACTAATATCCACCTCAACTAAATATTCCATAAAAGGAAGTTTTGATACCAAAAAGTCAATGGCTATATAAGCCCAGAGTAAGAGTCCTTTCCAAGATAGTGCAGTTACCATCTTCTACTGATATGAAGTTGCTGTTGGGTGCTATTGAGTCAATTCCGACGCACAGTGACCCTATGTGACAGAGTAGAACTGCCCCATAGGCTTTTTCCTAGGCTGTAATCTTTACAAGAGCAGATTGCCACATCTCTGTCCCACAAAGCAGGTAGGTGGGTTTGAACCACCAAACTTTTGGTTAACAGCCAAGCATTTAACCATTGTGTCCCAGAGCTCCTTAATGTGAAGTTACACTGTCTATATTTTCTCTTTTTTTATAGACCAGTGAAAATTTCATCAAAAATCACACTGGGGAAACACTGACCAGTCCTATAAACTTGCCCCAGCTGAGTTCCATATTTCACTGTTCCTCCTGTGTTATCCTGCCCCCCCCCAACCTACATCATAGGGGCATGCCTATGTCTAGACCACTGGCACTAGATGGGGGCATCATAACTACTGGATCAATTACTAGCTGACCTATTAACTAATAGAAGAAGACAGTAAAGAACATTGTGGGTTTCAAAGGAAACTAGGGAGCGGTCCTCAAAGTTTCTCTCAGGTGCTGGCTCTATGGTTATGCTGGGATTACCTTCACTGCAGCAGCCTCAACGGAGCAGTCGGGAAGCCCTGGCCGGTCCAGCAGCCCCGCAGTGAGGTAGGCCATACTTTCCATTACATAAGCCTTCTGAGCCATCAAGGCAAACTTCTCCTGGAAAGTTCAGAAAAAAACACAATCTAGAAGCCATCTGTATGTGCTGTGAATAAAAAGTGCCCAGTAAAGAAGACAAGTAAATCAGAAGCCTCACTGACCAACCAAACCCAGGCATTAATGAAAGTAAATCACATGAAATAAAGCCTTATCCAGTGTTTCTCACAAGTCACTGCATGGTAAGCAGCCACGAGGACAGACACCAAAAAAGCCGACTCTTCAAGTCCTCATGGTGAAACAAATACAACTCTCAGAACCTTCCATACCTGAATTAATCCAAATTCACTGAGATTCTTGTTGAACTGTTTCCTTGTGCAGGCATATTCAGCAGTCATTTCTGAACAACAGAGTTGTTAAAAAGTATAAATTTTAAAATGATTTCTGAAGGCTGTCATCATTACTCTTCAAATGCTCAGGTGGAAACTATGAGATCAAATGCCCTGAAGGAGACAGAGCACATCTGTGGTAGTTAAGGTTGTGTGTCCACTTGGCTGGTCCAGCCAGGGTTTTGAGCGGCTGAGCAAGTGAATATAGTTATTCCCCATGGTGAGACTGGATATGGTCTAATCAACTCCACCGGGAAGGATGGCTGAGCCCCTGAAACTACTGCCCTGAGAGAATATTTAAATCAAAAATATCCCCTGAAGTCATCTTAAAACAGAATACTGTAACTAATAATAAAAATAATAATAATAATAATAATAATCCCTTGAGCATTACACTCTTTTAAGAACTATCTATATGGAATGGAATTGACAACAACTTCAAAGATAGGAAATTTAGGGGGCACTGAGTTTATGTTAATGGGGGAGGAACAACACAGAAAAGGGGGGTGATAATGGTTACACAACCCAAACAATGTAATCAATGTCATTAAATTGTACATGTAGAAAAAAGAAAATCAACTCCATGGGGAATCTGCTCTGAGACCTTAATTAGTGGAAGGGGAGTTGCCTTTGGGGTGCGGCCTGCTTCTGGTATATACTATGTAACGTTGGGAAAGGGCTCTAGTTTTTTGGCACATCTGGATCCTGCACTTGGCTGAGTCTTCATCTCAGGGGCCTGCCATGTTGCCTGCCAATCTTGGGATTGTTCCTGGATTTGAAACAGTGTTCTACCATGTTGTTGCCTGATCTTGGGACTATGCTGTATTTACCTGTCAATCTTGGGTCCGTCAGCCTCAGCAGCCAGCAGCTGCATGAGTCAGAAAAAGCCTCCAGCTCCAGCAAGCCTGGAGCAGGAGGCAGAACTGAAACCCAAGGTCAAGAGGCCTTCACCTAGCCCATAGAGCTGGCACTCTTAACTCAGACTTCTAGCCTCCTAAACTGTAAAAGAACAAATTTGGTTTGTTAAAGCCACCCACTTGTGGTATTTCTGTTATACCAGCACTAGAGAACCAAGACAACGTCCATTCCAGCTTATTTGGGTCCAAGGTCTGTCCACTCCTGGTTTGTGTATACAGGCAATGGAGAGCAGCTGGAGCTCCGAGTCTGTAGGGTCAGACACAGATTTAAAACCTGGCACATTTTCCTGCCAGCGTGGTACCTTGGGCCAAGCTATTCTACCCTCTATTCCCTTGTAAGATGCAGACAATACCACCTACCCCCAGCATTGCCATCATGATAAAATCATACAGAAGCTATTAGGAGCCTAGCACAAAGCAAGGAGCACATAAGTGCCCTAGCTAGAAGAAGGAGCAGGCTCATATCTGTGTCATTGTTTTTATATCCCCAAAGTAGAGCCATCAGCTTTGAGAACACAAGTTGTGCCTTCAAAGTGTGTAGCTGTGAATATGCAGTGTCTCAAAGCTTAGCATCAAGTGAGCATGGCACCTCACACCCAGTCATTAGTACCCCTACCACCACCACTACTGCATTCTCCTAATGCTTTCACATCCATGATCCAATTACAGACTGATACCCATGATGGGCTGATGGGGCAGACAGTCACCCATGTTCCACACACTGAGCCTTCTGGATCTTGGTAAAAGTTTTGGAAGACAGGCTGACCAGTAACGTTCACAAAACTCTTGAACTGAGGAGAGTTGCCCAGACAAGGCAGCAGAGGCCCAGAGAGGTCAGGCTCTGTAAGCTTTTAGGGCCAGGTGCATGGCCTTGAGCAAAATCACTTAACCTCTCTGAGCCTCAGTTTCCTCATCTAAAAAAATAGGGGTAAGAATACCAAATGAAGCCTTCATGCCCCCACCTTGCCTTGAACTGTGAGGCTGTGCCAGAACCTGGTACCAAGCAGGGATTTATAAAGCACCCAGTAGCATGCCGTTCCCAGTGCAAAGCCCTTCAGTTAGCCCTGTCATCTACATTTCCCCATAGCCACTTCCCCAAGCTAAGACAGTGATGATCATCTTTCCTGCCAAACAAAACCCCCATAAGGCTGTTTTAAATTCACTGGCAAAGGAAAATCTAAGTTTCATGTATCTTAACAAAGGAAAGATCGGGACACTGGGGTCTCGGCCTCAAACCTGACTCCACTACTCAATCACTGTATAACTCTAAAGAGTCACCTATAAAATGAGGATCCTCAACTGAAAGCAATTTCCAAGAATTAGAGCTAATGTTCTTCCAGTGTGTGGCTCAGTTCACTAAGTAGCTCTGTTCTAGTAGTCAGAGTAGCAACCCCTTTCCACCTGACAGAATACCCATCTTCCCTCCCCTTATCCAGTGTGTGTGGGTAAATACGAATGCTGACATAGGAGGAGTGAACATTTGAGGGTAGACTGAGAACACTCTCGGGTCTAAACTAGGCCTGGGCAGTCACAGTCTAGAACCCAAACCTGAGCTAGGCCACCTGTTAGCTCTGATCGCCAGCTCACAGGGAATAGCAGAACAACCCAGAATGGAGCAGGGCAGGAGTAGGATTGTGCTGCTCCAGCCCTAATTTACCTACCAATCACTTTCTTGAGCATGCCGGCTACAATGCTGCCCATGCTGAAGCGCCCACTGTTGAGAATGTTCATGGCCACCTGCAGAGAGAGCAGAAGGTACACTGTGGACTCCTGTCCTTAGTGTTCTGTCACCTCCTATTGGGTCGAAGAAAGCCAAAGACTACTGAGGAAAGCAGAGATAACAGATCACAACAGTCTACGTCTACCAGGTTTCTTGAAAACAAAAAGGAAGCCTAGAGAGGTTTGTGCCAGTATCTGGGCAGAATTAATCATCCTGTCTGCCTCTGGGATGGAAGAAAGTAGTTTCAATTCCTCAAAACAAGGTGATTCAATCACTGTTGTGGCTTTCATAAACATCCTTGGAGTCAATGCCCAAAAATGCACTGGACATTATTCCAAGAGAACACATCAATTCTTATTCCTCAGAGGGAATGGATTATAAATACAAATTAAGATTAGCTGTGTACAAGCTGCAAACAACTTATGCTTTTTCAGGGTCTGGATCCTCACTTTACAAAGAACCTAAGGTTCAGAGTGGTAAAGTGACTCTCCCCAGGTCACACTGCAAGCATCTGCATACCACCCAAGCCTGTGTTCTCTATTCACTGAACCAGCCTCCTTACACTGAGACAATCCCATTGAACTAAGCAATGTTCAAACAGCAACATGCTCCCACTTTAAAATTCCCAAAATAATGTCCTGTTCACTTTGTCAGTTACCCTGCTCTTTTTATATTGTCCTGTCCTACTAATGAGGACTCTGAGTAGCTTATGATGAGAACAGGCACCATTGCTGAGTACCTGGGTACACATACTGCTTCATAAATGCTAGATTATACAGATTCACACACACTTCCCTCTTGGTGGTGCAGACCAAAAGGGCCATTATGCAGCAGGGTAACAGGTGAGTGATGGCAGACTAAAGGGGGAGTATACAAAGTCCAATGAGAATGGGTGATTGGGTATTTGTCTTTTGGTATGGGAAGAGGCAATGCTGATTAGCAAAGGCATCCCAAACTTGAGCTGGGTATATAAGCCAGCTAGAAAAGGAAAGACATACCAGGCCAAGGAATGGTATGTGTGAGGCCTTGAGGCAATCAACAGCTACATCTTTCCCAGGAGTAGCATGTAGCGTCCAGACCCAGTCATAAGATCTTTACACCAGTCTCCTTAGAGGGCAAGGAGCTCTAATGGCACAGTGGTTAAAGCATTTGGCTGCTAACCAAAAGGTCAGTGGTTCAAACCCATCAGCTGCTCTGAGAGGAAAGATGAGGCAGTCTGCTTCTGTAAAAACTTACAACCTTGGGAATCCAATGGGAGAAGTTCTACTCTGTCCTATAGGCTATGAGTTGGAATTAACTCAATAGCAGTGGGTTTCCTCAGAGGGCTCCCAACCCCTCACACTAAGGTAAGCCTTTGCAAGCAGAGTCTGACCTGCCAAATCTCTGCTCAGCCCAAGATGGCCTATGGACTCCAGAGCTGTTCTTAAAGCTCAACTTCAACTGTCCTACTGCTTCTCATTGAATGCTAGGTTATATGTGCCTTGGATTAATAAAACATGCAAATGATTTGGCATAGTGCCTAATGCATGTGACTGCTAACCAGAAGGCTGGCAATTGAAACCCACCAGCCACTCCTCGGAAGGAAGACTGGGCAATCTATTCCTATAGAGATACTGCCTCGGAAACCCAAGGAGGGGTCACTATGAGTCGGGACCAACTCAACCAGTGAGTTTGGCTTTTTTTTTTTTTTGTGGACTAAATAGTATGAATGGTTACTTATTAGAAACATAAATGGGAGAATTTCTCAAAACATTCTATATAGGTTGAAGAGGCTAGAAACAACTGCTCCAAACTCCTGGGAATTGTAAGCCTAGATTCGAACTGCCTCCCATCTGAGGAGGCTGGGACTGTGGCAGGTAAAGCACGGGACTAGAGGCCCTACACCCTAGGTGCTTCACCCACCTCAGCCACAGTGAGGGTGGCAGGAAAGCTTGGTTAAGTCACACCATAATGTGAGATACAAAATCTAGTTGGGGGAGGGCAAGGGTTGGTACAGGGGTATAGTATGTGTGGCCAGTTTCCTCACAGGAATCTAAGAATCAAGTGAGGTCTTCATTCCTTTTAACTTCCCAAACTGCAGACTACCTTCAGATATGGGATGCCACTGGCCCATTTCAACATGCCAGGGACTATAAAGGAGGAAACAATTTTCCCACACTTATTCCTATTAACTTGCCTCTTCTAAATGGGTTTTAAAATCCAGCTCATACCCCTTCATAGTTTATTATCCTTAATTTCACTTAAGAAACAAGAAGGATAAAGGATTTAACATTAGGCCTCATTCCCTGAGGATCAAAGCCCTATCTGAAGAAGGACTCATAGGCTCAATTACTTACCTTCTTACTTAAACATTCCTCTAGCCTTTCTAAGTCTACAGGAGGGCTTTATCACCTTCCGTATCACAAAACAGGTCCCTTTGACAATTTTCACAACTACATTCTAGATCTCAGTTTTACTGGAAGCAAAGATAAAATTCATTCTTTCAATAGGGTTTGTGTGTCAGTTAGCGTTTACCTGTCTGTTCATTTTCTTAAGAGCTCTGACAAATGATAAAATCTTCTGACTATCCCAGAGGGAAAACACCTTTCATTTGACTTACACTGCCCTTTTATCATTTTATGATCTCTGGAACAGTCACTTGATTGTGTAATACTGCAGAGTAGTAAATTACTCAGTATGGCTTTTCTACCCATAAGTCATTGTAAACTCAGTGGTGGAATGAGCAACTGAGGAGCTCCTGATTGTAAATGTTATCCACCTGGGTTATTTCTGTTGGGCGTGGCACAACACAATGTTATTATGGGAAGCTGGCTCACAAGTGCTTAGAGTTCTGATGCTATGATTGGCTAGTTTGACCACTCTGCTGGGCTCAAAAGGAGGCCTCCTAGAGGCAGAACTCTCTCTGACTGCTAGTTGAGGAAGATGTGCTGCTGAAAGAGACATGTGCTGCTGGGAAAGAGACGCAAGAGACACGCATTGCTGAGTAAGACAACAAGGGATATGCACTGCTGGGGGTAAGACTGTGAGAGACCTGGCTGAGAGACGGTGGGCTGAGAGAGATACTGAGCATTTTTCCTGAACTGGAATTGTTGCCTGGTGTTTCCCTAATAAATCCCATAATCTGTGAGTTCCGCGTGGCCACTGCAGTGAATTATCGAACCCAGGAGAGAGGTGGTGGGTGCTTTGGGAGAACGGTTGGAGAAAGGGCTGGAGAGAGGCAGCATGTCTGGCCTCGCAGGAATAGGCCTTGAGCTATTGATGGTAATTCTGTCTTCCTCTTGTGGGATTAGAGGAGGTCAGAACATGTGGCCTCCTTGCCATTTTAGCAAATACTTTTTAACATTCAAGCAATCCCACCAATAACAAAAAAGGGGCGTGGTTTTAAAATCAGGAAAGGTGTGTGTCAGGGTTCTATCCTTTCACTATACTTACTCAATCTGTATGCTGAGCAAATAACTGAGAAGCTGAACTATATGAAGAAGAGCACAGCATCAAGATTGGAGGAAGACTCATTAACAACCTGCAATATGCAAATGACATGACTTTCCTTGCTGAAAGTGAAGATGACTTGAAGCACTTACTGATGAAGATCAAAGACTACAGCCCTCAGTATGAATTACAACTTAACATACAGAAGACAAAAATCCTCACAACTGGACCAACAGGCAACATCATGATAAATGGAAAAATGATTGAAGTTGTCACGGATTTCATTTTACTTGGATCAACAGTCAATGCCCATGGAAGCAGCAGTCAAGAAATCAAATGACAGATTGCATTGGGCAAATCTGCTGCAAAAGATTTCTTTAAAGTGTTAAAAAGCAAAGATGTCACCTTGAGACATCTGACCCAAGCAATGGCATTTTCAATCACCTCATATGCATGTGAAAGCTGAACAATGAGTAAGGAAAACTGAAGAAGAATTAATGCATTTGAATTACGACGTTGGTGAAGAATACTGAATATACCATGGACTGCTGGAAGAAGCAACAAATCTGTCTTGGAAGAAATACACCCAGAATAGTCCTTTAGAAGTGAGGATGGTAACACATCATTTCATGTACTAGAGGAACCAGTCCCTGGAGAAGGACATTGTGTGATAACACAGAAGGTCAACAAAAAAGGGAAGACCCTTAATGAGACAGCCTGACAACGGCTTCAACAATGGGCTCAAACAACTGTGAGCATGGTGCAGCACCAGGCACTGTTTCATTCTACTGCACATAGGGTCGTTATGAGTCAGAACTAATATGATGGCACCTAATGATAACAGATTAAACACAATTATCGAATGACTCACCAATGTTCCTAAGTATGTACCTGAATGAACTGAAAAAATGTCCACACAAAAACTTGTACATGAATGTTCATAGCAGTATTATTCATAACAGCCAAAAAATAGAAACAACCTGTATGTCCACCAGTTGATGAATGAATATATAAAACATAGTATATTTATATAATGGATTATTATTCAGCCATGAAAAGGAATAAAGCACTGACACATACTACAACACAGATGAACCGTGAAAACATTATGCTGAGTAAAAGAAGCCAAACACAAAAAGGCCACATACTGTATGACTCTATTTATATGAAATGTGCAGAATAGGTAAATCCATAGAGACAGAAAATAGTAGAGATGGGGAGAGGATGACATTAGTACTCATGGCATTTGCTTCTGGGATGATGGAAATGTTCGGGAATTCAACAGTGGTGATGGTTATTCCACATGGTTCACACATGGTGATGGTTCACACATACAGTGAATATACTAAATACCACTAAAGTGTGCAATTAAATGTACACACAAAATGATGAACTTTATATTATATGAATTATCTCTAAATAAAAAATAACAATAAATCTGACTCCAGGAAGAAAAACACATTAGGACAGGGCCTAAGACCCAGAGCTGAGTGCTCACTTGGAGCTTTCCAAAGCTCTCTGGCCTCTTTTCTTTCTACCCTAAAAAAGGGATCCTATCCCTTAGTGGAGATAAATGAGGAGTCAGAGATTAAGGAAGATTCCTAATTATAAGCATACACACCCTCTTCTGGAAGCAAATCAATCTTCCTATTCCTCATACTGCCGACTTTCCAGAGGAGAATCATGGGTCATGTGCAAAGCACAGGCTGGGCTGCTACAAACAGGGAGCTGAGACCAATAAGCTGGACCCATGAAACTGCCCAGCACTCACGAGGGGCTGCTACCAGGAACTCACCTTAAATCCACCTCCTACTTCTCCAAGGACATTTTCAATGGGCACCTTGGTGTTTTCAAAATGGACTTCACAAGCTGAAACACATGAAATTTAAGACTTAATCTGACAAATGCAAACTATTCTACATTTGACCTGTATGCATGCCATGCAGATCATTCATTCATTCACCTGACACCTACTGCTAGGAGAGCACAGAAAGACAGAAAGGTTCCATCCCTGTGGAGTTGTTCATATTTTGGTTAGGGAGATAAACTATAAACAAGATGATACAATACTGTAGTAAGAGTAATAGATGAAATAAATAGGGCATGGTGATAGAGAGAAATGGAGGTGGGAGAAACCTAAGTGCTTATGTCAGATCTTTCAAAGGTGACATTTCAGAAGTCTTGATGATAAGGAACCAGTCATGTAAAAAGCCCCAGAAAGAACACTTGAGCAGTATTTTCTAGGGCTTCTGGGTAGATGGGAATATTAATTCTACTTTATTACATCCATCCCCTCGCAATGTAACTCTGTAGTACCCTACCCTGTTGGGAAGGAGTCAACTTCCCTATCCCTGCCCACTGATGCTGGGCCTGGACTTGCTTTGGCACTGGACACAGCAAACCTAACAAGAGCAGAGGCCTTCAATGTGCTTTTGAGATTTGGCTTGGTCACTTGTGCTTCTGTGATTTGCCACAGGAAGATCATGCTGCAGGACAGTAAAGAACAAAGAAAACCCACAGGTAGCCCTGACCCCAGCCACAGCCTAAAGCAGGCTGCCTCAGCCAACCCATGGACCTATGAGAGAAAAATAAATGCTTATTGTTGTAATCCGAGCTCTAAGGTGGTTTGTCAGGCAGCATTACTGAAGCAGTAGGTGACTAATAGACCCTAAAAATGAAGGAGACGTTGCCATGCTGGAGAAACAAAGAGAAGCCAGTGTGAATGAAATGCAGTCAGCAAGGGCCAAAAGTGGCAGAGGGTGAGGGGAAAGGGGTAGCCATGTTTTAGGAGGCTGTGAAATAACAGGAATTTGTTATTGTATCTTCTGTTAAAAAAGTGTTTATGCATGTTATGTAAGCACAGTAGCTTCTAGCAATTTACACAAGAAGAAAGGGAGGCTTAGAATAGAGATGATCATGGCTCCAGAATAGCCAAGCCAGGTATGTGCAACCTGGGTCTACTGATCTTTTCTTACACTATTACAAATGTACCCAAATAACTTGGTTGTGAAATACACTGGCTACAGGACCAGACCTTTCTCCTAAAGGCCCTTGTTCTTTCACAGGCCTCCAGATATGGGTAGGATCCTGCCTCCCTATCAGATCTCATGTTGTGCCACTACCTTCTGGTCCACTGCCACTGCACTGCACAATTCCAGGAGTACCACTTACTCAGACTTTCATGGGGGTACTGCTGCTGGAGTGCTGCATGGTAGCCCTGCTTCCTCCCTACACGCCAGTCCTCTGGCTACCTTTTCCCATCAATATGCCAAACTCTTTCTTATGTTAAGGCCTTTGAATATGCTCCTTCTCCTGCTAGAATATTCTCAGTAGGTACTCAATAAGCAGCACTAGTAGGAGTAGTAGCACTATTAATGGCAGCAGCTAACATTGTAGTGTTACAGGTACACTAAGCATTTTAAACACATCTTACCATTCCATGCTTTTGTCCACAGATGGTTCTGTTATTACCCTCCCACCAGCCCTTTGTTTACCTGAGGAAACTGAAGCACAGAGAGTTAATTAGCTGTTCAGGAGCACACAGCTTCTAAATAGAGCTCAGAATCCTCTGACCCCACAGAGCACATGAGCTGCAAACAGCACTATCCAGAACGAGCATTCCCAAAGAGGAGGTGGCACACAGGAGTAGGCTCTGGAAGTACACAGGGCAGCATTGCAGCCACCTCCACTCAGACACTCTAACCTGAACTGGAAGACCCAAGAGACAAACCCATGAACAAGCAGCACAGGGCAGATCAAGGACTTCTTACAGGATACTAGTTCAAGTGATTCAGGGGCTATAGTTGGACTTGGGTGTGGAGAAGGGTGTATAAGAGGAAGGAGGTTCCAGTAGGAAAGACAGGGAGCTTCCTATAGAATTTCTACCTAGGATATCCTACTAACCCTTTTGGGAGTCTATGACTGCTTATCTTACAAGGCTGAGCTCCATAACACTAGGAGTGTTTCCCTTACCTTGAAATCACTAATGCCCAATGCACTGAAAGATCCATGAGAAATGCTTATTGAAATAATGAGTCCATTTCAATGAGCTCATCTGCATTTGCCACCAAAGACATTTGTAGAGTCTTAATTTGATTCTGCTAATATGTTTAAATGAAACAAAAACTATTTAAATCCCATTTTAGTTTGATATTTGGGAGTACTCTCTTACATACTCTCTCTTTGTCTCTCTCACACACACACACCCCTACACACATAGGCTTACTGTTAGAGCCACGAATGCCTAGCTTATCCTCAGGTTTCCCGTTAGTGACTCCACCAAAGTTTCTTTCTACTATGAATGCTGTGATTTTGTCTTTTATCAAACTGTTGGAATCAACAATCTGTGTCTTTGCAAACACGGTAAAAATATCAGCCAGTCCTCCATTGGTGATCCAGATCTGAGGAAAGAAAGAGAAAGAACTCTGGAGAAAACCAAACTTACTATGGGGTACATTGGAGCTCCAGCTTCTCATAGGGACTCCAGCTACCTATCAAACTTCAGGCCAGACATGTAAAGCTCTTGGCTCTGGAGAATCCAAGCCTGTTTGATCAGAAGATGGAGTCCACAGGGGGACATGAAGGTCATTATACTTCTATAGATCTGAAATTCTGTATAATGATAATAAATAAATAAACCCATGCAGCAGTTCAAGGAAGTAGTTGGTACAATAGCAGCAGGAAGTGCCATGTACCCCACAGGATAGTCAGGTGGTGATATGTGCATCTTCTCATTCCTGGTGCATGGCAGGTGCTCATTATAAATGGTAACTAGGACCATGACTGAAATTCTGAGCAGGCCCTACCTTGGAGCCGTTGAGGATATAGTGCTTCTTATCTTCACTTAACGTGGCTCTAGTCTGGATAGATGCAGCATCACTCCCACTGCAGGGACAGAAACACATGCTTGAGGGAAATAAAGCTGGGAATAAATATGAATGGTTTTGAGGTCCTGAAAATGAAGGTCTTAATACAGGGGCTGGCAAATCTTTTAAAATAAAGGGCCAGATAGTAAACATAGCTTTGCAGGCTATATAGGATGTCTTTCTCAACTACTCAGTGCGGCCACTGTTGCATGAAAGCTGCTGTAGGCAATTTATAAACAAAATGGGTATGTACCAATAAAACTTTATTTACCAAAACAGGTAGTGGGATGGATTTGGCAACTTCTGCTTTAAGACATCAGGTAGAAGAAGTGACAATGAACATAACCCTGGCTTAGGTTTAAACACAGAGATGTGTGCATCTGAGCACCTAACAGGCTCATGTGAGCTCCTTGCAAGGATGAATTCAGGTACCCCAAGAGGGAGAAGCTCAATCAAGTGGGATGGAAACTGATCAGAAAAGCAGAAGTGGAGATGCCCCTCCAAATCTATAGTACCAAAATTTTATTAGGATCAGGAGACAATGCTGAAAAGATCTAAATGGGAAAGCACTTGGGTTTTTTAAATTAGCAACGTGAGGTATCTAAAGCCAACTCACATACTGCCCTTAGTGGTTGAGAAAGAGAAGCAAAATAAAGAACACCAGTAAGTTCCCATCTTTTAGGAAAAAAAACTCTCACAATTCCAACATCCAATCAGCTACCAATAATAAATCCTCTGTGCAGCATAGTTCTCGGGTATCTATGTGAGGGGAACCAGGATGGAGTGTGGTCCAAGTAAAGGACTGAACATCAGAAGTCCTAAGTCCTATCCACTACTATTTCCTAGCTGTGCTAATTTCCTAGCTGGGCTAATTACATAACGTCACAGAACCTCAGTTCCTAATCAGTAAAATGAGAACAATACTGCCTACTCTACATACTTGGAAAGTTGCTTTGAAGCTTGGGTGCGTTATCATACGTCAACGTGCCATCACAAACAAACAAAAAATGTTATTTAATAGGTGCTGTCAGGTACACAATCTCATTTGTAAGACTGACTGGGACAGAGAAAAAAAGGTAAAGATAGAGAACATGAAGGCTGTCAAAAAAAAGCTCTTGAGTTGACTCTGGGAGATTTCAGAGAGAAAAAATAGAAGCCATCTATTTAATAAAACAATAGCTCCTTGCCCCAGGGAGTCTTAGAAGACAAAAGTTGTTTTCATGTGACATTTCCAGCCAAGGGGCAGACCTGGCTGGCTCTGTAAGGCAGAAGGCTGCAATATGCTCCCCCGATGCCAGTCTGGGCAAGTATTTGGTCTTCTGTTCCTCATTGCCTGTCATGATGATCCCCTAAACAAAACAGAGAGAGACCAATTTCAGCTGTGCAGAGACAAACCCAAAAATCAAATCCACTGCCACTGAATCAATTCCAACTCATAGCGATCCTATAAGACAGAATAAAACTGCCCCGTAGGGTTTCCAAGACTATAAATCTTTATAGACGCAGACTGCTTCATCTTTCTTCTACGGAACAGCTGGTGAGTTCAAACCACCAACCTTTTGGTTAGCAGGCAAGTACTTTGACCACTGTACCACCAGAGCTCCTTGTGGAGAGAGAAGAAAATGTCAAATGTGCTCACAAAACATCTCCTCTTCTAGAACTAGAGGGTGCCCGGCTACCACTGTCAACCACTTGGAGGGGGATCTATGTAGGAGATCCTGGACAGAGTGGGAGAACAATGTGGAACAAAACTCAAAATCATTAAAAAAAAAAGGAAAAAGGACCAAGTTTGCTGGTCTGATAGAGCCTGATGGAACCACTGAGACTATGGCCCCTCAGGTCTGGAATTGAACCCACTCCTGTGGCTGCCAGCCAAACAAAAGACAGGCATATGAGCTGAACATTTACCTTAGTTAGATACATTCCTTGGAAAGACCAATCATGGAAGAATAGAAGGGTAGTATATGCACACGGAGACAGCTTGGGGGGCAGGAGTGCACAGGAAGGAAGGACACAGGGAAGAGGTAACTATGGGGAGGAAGTGAGAAAAGAGCTGCTGTACTGTGGGAAACTGCAGTCAATGTCATGAGACAAAGTATATGTGAACTGCTGTATGGAAAATGAATTTGCTCTGTAAACTTTCATCCAAATCACAATAAAGATTTAACAAAACAAAAAGTCTCCTCTTCTAAAATAATATTTACTTCAAGTCAGAGAAAAATATACCATGAACTCAAATGGAAGCCTCAGGTAAGAAAGAGGAAGCAGTGGGGAACACAGTGAGACAGGCTGCTAAGAAACCCACACTAGAGGGCATACACCAGGGCAGTGAGGGCCTGGAGGATCAGCAGACCATTGGAGTCAGAGAGAGCCAGATTTTCCTATAGTTCCTCTACTTCCTAGCTGTGTGGCTTTAAGCAAGGAGTGGCCTAAGTCTCCATTATCAATATGTACAAACTGGGGAAAATCCTATCTCTGGAAAAGTGGTCTGGATGATAAAATGAGAATACAGGAGAGTGCCAGAACCATGCTTCGCATAAAGGTGTTCAGTCAATGTCAGGACTGTCCCACCCCCCTTCCCAGGCAATGCCAGTGGATAGTCTATTCTTTACACAAATGACTATGTCTAGTACATATATTCCCTAGGGTAAGGAAGCGGAGCATGTTGCTCATTCAGTTATCAGTGAACTCTACATTGGGCAGAAATAACCTGAGTAATGGGTATGTTACGAAGAGCTGTAGAACTTTAAACAAGCCACTAACCTTCCCTGCCCCTGAATGCTCCAGGCCAAATGGGAGGAAGAAGATATGTGTACAAACACCAGGGAGACTACACTCAGGGCCCCAACTGACTTGAGAGTTCAGAGGGAAGGCCTGTTTCTAGTCCAAGGTGAAGGAAGCCTCCATGAAGCAGTGGCAGCTGACCTAGACCCTGAAGGATGAATAAGTCAAAGGGAGGAGAATTCAGAGAGGGGACAGTATGATCAAAAGGCCACTGCTCTTTGGGCAAGTGGAGAGCATATGCACAAGGACTAAGGGTTGTCTTGGGTAGCTAGAAAGAGGGTGTACACATGTGAGGAGTGATGGGGCTACAGACAGAAAATCCAAGACTAGGCTGGGCTCTCCTCCAGAACCCTGTAATAACAAGTCAATAACTTCCTTATAAAAGTAAGCAAGCTTCCTGCCTCAGCTGCATCAAAGAATGCATCAAAGAGAAACCCCAGACACTTAACCTTGAGGCCTATAGCCTGGTGTGCTGCCAGGGTCACAGCAATAGACGCATCCAGGGCAATGATTTCCCCTAACCGTGCATACATGGTGTTGGAGAGGCCCAGGCCACCTAGGAGAAGAAACAGACCAGTTTTAATTATAGTTCAACCCAAAATCCCTCCCACAAGGCCAACAGCTTAAGTGTTTTTCTCTGATTAGCACTGCTAAGAAAAAAAAAATCACAATACAGGTACAAAGAAAACAAAAATCATCCATAATCTTATCACTTGGATATAGCATTTGTCTATACATCCTTTTAGACTTTTTCTAGGCATATAAGCATATATAGAAATATGTATTTTAATATAAAAAATACCTAGACACACACTAAACCATAACATTACGAATACCTATCACAGATATATTTCTTCTAAACAGAACAGCTACAGTATACAGTATCCCACTCCCCAGTATCTAGTGGACCCAGTCTTGGCACAACTGACATTTTGGGCCAGATAATTCTGTCATGGGGGCTGCCCTGTACACTGTGGGAGGTTTAGCAGCAACTCTAACTTCTACTCAGAAAATGGCAGAAGCACATCTGACCTGTGGTTATGAAACAGAAAAATGTCTCCAGACATTGCTAAATACATTCCCTCCCCCGTCTCCCAAGGCATAATCACCCACAGCTGGGAATTACTGCACAAGAAATACAAAGACAAAAGATTAGGAGGAAAAATGAAACTCTACCTGTGGTGTAGTAAATTACTTAGTGTGGCTTTTCTACCCATAAGTCTTTGTAAACTCCAAGGTGGGATTTTCTATGAGCAACTGAGGAGCTCCTGATTGCTGAAGTTGTCCACCTGGAGTATTTCTGTTGGGCGTGGCACAATACAATGTTTTGGGAGGTGCCCACTCTCTCTCAAGTGCTTATAGTTCTGATGCTGTGATTGGCTAGTTTGACCACCCTGCCAGGCTCAAAACGAGGCCTCCTAGAGGCAGAACTCTCTCTGACTGCTGGTTGAGGAAGACGTGCTGCTGAAAGAGACACGGGTTTCTGAGACAAGCGTTGCTGGGAAAGAGATGCAAGAGACAAGCATTGCTGAGTGATACACCGAGGGACCAGCACTGCTGGGAAAGGGACTGTGAGAGACTGCTGGCTGAGAGACGGAGGGCTGGGAGAGAGGCCGAGCATTTTTTCCTGAACTTGAATTGTAGCCTGTGGTGCTTCCCTAATAAACCTCATAATCTGTGAGCTCTATGTGGCCACTGCAGCAAATTATCGAACCCAGGAGAGAGGTGGTGGGTGCTTTGGGAGGAACGGTTGGTGAAAGGGCTGGAGGGAGGCAGCATGTCTGGCCTGGCGGAATAGGTCTTGCGCTATTGATGGTGATTCTGCCTTCCTCTTGTGGGATTAGAGGAGGTCAGAACATGTGGCCTCCTTCCCCTCTTTGCACTACTATACTTGAGTATTTTGCATTTAATATTCACAATCGTCCAGTGGTAGCTTGGTGGCCCAATGTCCATTTCACAAATGACAATGTGTGGTCTAATGTCATGTGGCCAGCAAGTAGCAGAGCTAAGCCCTGAACTCAGGGGTCTGGGTATTGCTCTTGGAGCTGTTGTAATGCTCAACTCAAGAGGGCACCATTTGTAAAGAAGACAGAGTACAGGGTATCCCCTGCAGCTGTCTCCCCCAAACACCATGACCTTAACTGAACAAACTTGAAAGTAATTTCAACAAAGGCTTGGAACACAGGAAGGAGTCTGATAGAAGAGGGTGCAGAGTGAAAGTTGTAGAGCCCAGAGTCACATTTTATGACAAAAGGGTCTGAGAGCGAAAATAAAGGAGGTGTGTGTGCATGATTGTATTCTGTTCCTCTGAAAGATTTTCAATCTCCTCCCCAACTTCTTGCCTTATGACGTTTAGTCCCCACACCTCAATGACCAACTCCAGATCAAGCAAAAGAGAGAGAAACTGTAGTGACTGACCAAATCTAATGAGGCAGAATTAAAGTAGGATCATGGGGAGAAAGGTAAGATCTTTCACTTGGGGCCTTAAAGATATAAGGGAAGAGTTAAAGGGACAAAGGACTCTGCTTGAAGGGGCTCACACTGTCTATCTCCTTCTACCTGGTGTCATGTTCCCTGAAGCTGACCTCTGCATCTCCTGATGACACTAGAGTGAGAAGGCAGGTCTGGCGGGCCCTGAAGCCTGAGTAAGCCCTTACCATACTGTTCTCCCTCCACCATAAAGTGCTAGCTGCTCTAAGAAAAATTGCTCTAAGAAATTCAAAGGCTTTATAGAACGGAGAAGACATTGAAATCACCCAATGCAGCTTTGAGGTCAATCACACAGGCCCTTCACCATCCATAGGAACCAGAGAACATAAACTCCCTGCAAGACTGGTCCTCTTCCACCAGAGATGATCCAAGCGCAGAGCTCAACAACAGCTCTTCTGCCCTGTGGATCATGTGCTCAGTCTACTGATACCAGTCAGCCATCCCGTATTTAGCCCACAACTAACTTTTTTTTTTATTAACCCCAGCAGTTTTGCAGCTAGACTTAACACACTGCATTTAAAGGCCATCTTTCACACACAAGTAATTCTGCTGTGTATGAGTGCTTTGTTAACAGCCAAATCAAGTGGGTATTGTTTCCTTACTTACCATATTCTTCCGGGACCTGTATTCCAAAAAGCCCTAGTCTCTTCAATTTCTCTAAAGTTTCATTGGGTATTTTTCCCTCCAGGTCAATTTTTCGAGAGTCCACTGCGAAGAGGCAATATATTAAAATAAACAAAGTATAAACTATATTTATACAGACACAAGTAAACAGTTTTTATATAGTTACAATCCCAGTGTCAGAACTTTTTCAAAACTAGAAAATGTCTAGTCACAGTCATTCACTATATCCTCAATTTTACTTTAATTACTTCAGCAATTTTATTTTTAAAAATTACCAGTCCCAGGTAGTGTTATGTTTTTTGATCTAGATGCAAGTCACATGAATGTATTCATTTTGTATAGCTGCAGCAAACATTTATTTCACGTAAATGTTTCTACAGGCATACTAAACTTGAAATTTGAAAAATTACCAGTACCTTCTAGAATAATTAAGAAATTCTAAATTTCCATCACTGTTCTCCCAGCACTGCTGTAAAATTTTAGGCTAGATAGCTACATTCTAGGCAATATCTAGAGCTAGATCTATCTGGCTTTCCCAATCAATGTTTTCTCTCACCACAGTCCATAGGTTCTGGGAACAATTTAGTCTAACACCAACATGCACATTCACTAGAGCAAAACTTCACAGTCACTAGCTTGCAGCTGTATACTTTTGTATGAATCAAGTTGAAGTACTTTTTAAATTGCTAAAAAATTAAATTTCATCACTATTCTAAATTTTAAAAATCACCATAACCTACCCATGTGAATTTTCCACTACATGGCTCACTAACTTTATTGATGCATATACAAAATTCAGAAGGAAGATTGGGCAATCTACTTCTGTAGAGATACTGCCTTGGAAACCAAGGAGGGGTCATTGTGAGTTGAATCAACTTGACAGCAGTGAGTTTGGTTTTTGGTTTTATATAAAATTAACATACTACAAATTACATATATTTGAAGTATACAGAGTTCTGACATATGTGTTCACTTCTGAAACCATTACCACAATCAAGATAAAAAAAACTATTTCTGTTACACACACAAGTTGCTTCATACTTCTTTGTAAATCAATCCTTCCTTCTACCTCTATCCCTAGGCAACAACAATCTGCTTTTTGTCACTATAGTTTTTATGAGAATTTCATATAAATGGAACCACACAGCATACTATGATAAAACACGCTCCTTTATACGCCCTTTTGCCTTGTGTTGTTAGGTGCTGTTCAGTCGGTTCTGATTCATAACAATCCTACATACAAGAATCAAACACTGCCCAGTCTGCGTCATTCTCACAATCACTACTATTTCAGCTCACTGTTGCAAACTGTGTCAATCTATCTCACTGAGGGTCTTTTTTTGCTAATTTTACCAAGCATGATGTCCTTCTCCAGGAACTGGTCCCTCCTGATTACATGCCCCACGGAGGCTGAGAGACAGAAAGAACCAAGAAGGGAAGCAGCAGGAAGGGGGGGGGGCAGGGAACAAGGAACCTCTTAAAAGAGCTGTGACATGGGACAAGGGTTATAACACTGAAGACAATGAGAGGCCCAGAAGCAGCTCAATGGCAAAGCCAGTAGCAACAGGCCTAGAAGGGGCCCTGCGGCAGAGTTGGCAGTGACAGGCAGAGGAACCTTTCCTGGGGAGGGCAGGGGCAGAGAAGAGTCTGCCTTTGGGGGTTCATTACTTTTTAGTTACTGCTCAATACTCCACTTTATGGATGTATCAAGATAATTTATCTACTCACCTCAAACAATTGAGTAGTTTTGGGTTCTTTGCTCTTAGAAATAAAACTTTTATGGATAGTCTTATTCAAGACTTTGTATGAATGTTTTTAATTACCTTGGGTCTTACTTAAAAGTGGAATGATTTAGTTGTATAGTACATTGGGTGACTTTTAAGAAACCAGGATTATGGGAGCCTTCTGCTCTCTGCCAAGATGAAGTAATAGGACTACATTTAACGTCCTACCTGAAAAAATTTTAAAAAACTAGAAAAAAATATATGAAACAGTTTATAAACACTGTATAACAGGAATAACAGGACAATGATTCCAAAGGGGGAGGGGATGAAGTGAGTCCTACAGAAGCTCCAACTTACTCCCCAAAGTGTTTCTAAACTGTAGGGCAGGAAGGGAAACCCAGACACAGTTCAGCAGAGTAAGGGGAGGCCAAAGTGTCTGGAATTCACAGGGCAGATCACCAAAGAGGAAACTGTATATAGAGAGCTAGCCTTGAAGAGGGTGCCTCAAGTCTTTAGTAGAATACCAATCAGTGCACGTATATGGGAAAACTACCCAAAGCCAAGAAAAGAGCCACCCAAAAGGAGCAGGCAAAAGAATTCTTGTAGCTCTCAAAGGTGCAGACTTGTTAGCATTCACACAAGGCAAAGTGGAAAGCCTCACAATACACAGGGCATTGGGTACAGTATTCAGAAGGGTAGTGTGTCAGTAGTGGAGAAAAACTTAGCTCTATACATTCTCAACTGGAGCTCTGGTAGCATAGTGCCTAAGGCACTTGACTGCTAACCAGAAGGCTGGCGGTTCAACCCCACCAGCCACTCCTCCTCGGAAGGAAGGTTGGGCAATCTACTGGCGTAGTGATACTGCCTCGGCAACCCAAGGAGGGGTCGCTATGAGTCGGTCTGACTTGACGGCACATAACAACAACAACATACATTCTCAACAGGAGCAAAATCATCGAAAAGGAGGTAAGAGCTAGTTGGGGGATGGGGTTTACTCTTTTTATGTATAAAGCCCAGAGATATACATATAACACATAAACAGATATACAGTGTATCTATGGCATTAAAATTTCTTGCGGAGGAGGTGACTTGGAAAAAAAAGATGTCTAAAAAGGCTCCTGGGTGGGAGGGTAGGGCTGGATAATAAAGGTTGATAAAAACTACCCCAGACTAAAAGTACTCTACTCTTGCCTTGAGTAGCAGGCCGGAAGAGCAGTAGAAAGGGAATAAAAGCCAGGAACC